CTTGGAAAACACATTTAAGATTTCCTGTTTTTTTTTTTTTTTTTTTTTTCCTTCACTATAAAATGGTCTCCACTAATCAAATACATTCAGGCACATGTACTAAATGTAGTTTTTTTTTTTTTTTTCCTTTTTACAATTTTTTTTTTTTTAAGGACAATCTAATTTTGTTAAATGTGTTTTCCAAGTTTTTTTTTTTTTTTTGTTTTTGTTTTTCACTATAAAACACCCTCACGATGGTCTCCACTAATCAAATACATTCCAGCATGTGTACTAAATGTAGTTTTTTTTTTGTTTGTTTTTTTTTTTCTTGTTAGATTGTCCTTTAAAAAACATTCCCTGCTCTCCTTGGCAAGCGTGCTGCCATCTTCAGTGTGGGCATCTGAAGCCCACTCATTCCTCAGGCTACGGATCTGCTGGCTACCCAGCATGCACCTCCCGATCTCACTCCGCCTGGCATTGCCGCATTTCCGGTTTGGAAATACCACAATGCTAGAAGCGGAGGCTGCCCATTGACTCCTGGGATTGAGGACACGCCTATCCCAGGAGCCAATAGGCAGCCGGATATGATGTACGACGCCGTGGTGAGGTACAATGGAAGAGGACCATTCTGGTGGATAAATAAAGGGAAAAAAACTTTGGGGGGGGAAAAAAAAAAAATTCTGATGAGGAATGGAAATGTGATCACCAACGTGGTGGTGAGGACCATAAAAAAAGTGAGTGGAACTACGCTTCAAAGACCAACTCCAGGCTTAGTCCTCCTTCCTTTTTTTTTTTTTTTTTTTTTCTTTCTATTCACGCACCAACCCTAGGCTTAGTCTTGCTCTTCTTTTGTTTTAGTTTTTTTTTAGTTTTTTTAAATACCAACCCTAGGTTTAGTCCTTTGTCTTTTCTTTTGTTTGTTTTTTTTTAAATACCTACCCTAGTCCTCGGTCTTCTTTTTTTTTTTTTTTTTGGTTTTTTTTTTTGGTTTTTTTTTTTTAACCCTTCAATACCGGGCAATTTTACCCCTTCCTGCCCAGGCCATTTTTCAGGTTTCCAGCGCTCTCAACACTTTGAATGACAATTGCGCGGTCATACAACATTGTACCACAAACTAAAATTTTATCATTTTCTTCACACAACTAGAGCTTTCTTTTTGGTGGTATTTAATCACCGCTGGGGTTTTTATTTTTTGCAAAATTAAAAAAAAAAGACCAAACATTTTGAAAAAAAAAAACACGTTTTTCTTTGTTTCTGTTATAAAAGTTTGCAAATAAATAATTGTTCTTCATAAATTTAGGCCGAGATGTATTCTGCTACATGTCTTTGGTGACAATAACCCAAATTAGGGGATGTATTATTTAGTCTGTAGGAAGTTATAGAGTTCACAAAAACTATGGTATAGATCTGAATATTGATCAATCCTGAAGTACTGACGGCCAATCTAATTTCTTGAGGTCCAAGAATGTCAGAACAGTACAGATATCCCCCAAATGTCAGAACGGTACAGATATCCCCCAGATGTCAGGACAGTACAGATATCCCCCAAATGTCTGGACAGTACAGATCCCCCAGATATCCCCCAGATGTCAGGTACAGATATCCCCCAAATGTCAGGACAGGTACAGATATCCCCCAAATGTCAGCACAGTACAGATATCCCCCAGATGTCAGGACAGTACAGATATCCCCCAAATGTCAGGACAGTACAGATATCCCCCAAATGTCAGGACGGTACAGATATCCCCCAAATGTCAGGACGGTACAGATATCCCCCAAATGTCAGGACGGTAACAGATATCCCCCAAATGTTCACGACAGGACAGATATCCCCCAAATGTCAGGACAGGACAGATATCCCCCAAATGTCAGGACGGTACAGATATCCCCCAAATGTCAGGACGGTACAGATATCCCCCAAATGTCAGGACAGTACAGATATCCCCCCAAATGTCAGGACAGTACAGATATCCCCCAAATGTCAGGACAGTACAGATATCCCCCAAATGTCAGGACAGTACAGATATCCCCCAAATGTCAGGACAGTACAGATATCCCCCCCAAATGTCAGGACATAACAGATATCCCCCCAAATGTCAGGACAGTACAGATATCCCCCAAATGTCAGGACAGTACAGATATCCCCCCAAATGTCAGGACAGTACAGATATCCCCCCAAATGTCAGGACAGTACAGATATCCCCCCAAATGTCAGACAGTACAGATATCCCCCAAATGTCAGGATATCCCCCAAATGTGACAGATATCCCCCAAATGTCGAAGAACAGTACGGATATCCCCCAAATGTCAGGACAGGACGGATATCCCCCCAAATGTCAGGACAGGTACAGATATCCCCCCAAATGTCAGGACAGGACAGATATCCCCCCAAATGTCAGGACAGGACAGATATCCCCCCAAATGTCAGGACAGGACAGATATCCCCCCAAATGTCAGGACAGGACAGATATCCCCCCAAATGTCAGGACAGGACAGATATCCCCCCCAATGTCAGGACAGATATCCCCCAATGTCAGGACAGAATCCCCCAAATGTCAGGGCAGGACAGATATCCCCCCAAATGTCAGGGCAGGACAGATATCCCCCCAAATGTCAGGACAGTACAGATATCCCCCCAAATGTCAGGACAGTACAGATATCCCCCCAAATGTCAGGACAGGACAGATATCCCCCAAATGTCAGGACAGTACAGATATCCCCCAAATGTCAGGACAGTACAGATATCCCCCAATGTCAGGACAGTACAGATATCCCCAAATGTCAGGACAGTACAGATATCCCCCAAATGACCCCTTTTTGCAGAGTAGACAGTCCGATGTACTTCATAAGAGGCATGGCGAGTTTTTTGAAGTTGTATTTTTTTTGTCATTTTTCGGAAAATGAAAAAGTTATAAAAAATTAGTTTCACTATTTTTTTCTTTTTTTTACATACTGTCACCAGTGCAGTGCACAGAGTCATCATATAACTGGCGGTGATCAGGGACACTGGTGACAGTATGAAAAAAATATATATATATATTTATTTTTTAATTTTTTTTAAGATTTTTTTTTCATATTTTACTATGACCAAAGTAGTACAATGTTACCATAGTAACATTGTACTACTTTGGGGAAGTGATCAGTATTTTTTTTTTTTTACACAATTTGCTTATAGCAAAGAATTACTTTGCTATAAGCAAATTTACCTGAATGACATCGATTCAATCAGGGTTTTTTTTTTTTTTTTTTTGTGCTTAGCTGTGATTTGGCCACAGATAATCACATGACATGTGCATGTGATCGCTGTGACCATTCACAGCTAGGCAGTAGTATACAATGGATGGCATGAATGAAGCCATCCATTGTATACAACGGTCATGTAACCTGCTGTGATTGGTCACAGCAGGTCACATGGTACCGGCAACGGGGCCGATACTCAGATCTGTCATCGGCCGTGTCCGAGGTACATGGCCGGTGACAGATCGCGCCGCTGCGCAGCTCTGCAGGAGCGCAATCTGCGCATGTGCGGGAGGACGCCATATGGCGTCCACTCGGAACGCTGATGCCATTTGCCGCCCGCCATTCGGCCATAGGGCAGCTGGCGGCAAATGGTTAAATACCAACCCTAGGCTTAGTCCTCAGTCTTCTTTTTTTTTTTTTTTTTTTTTTTAAGGGCAAACTCCAGGCTTTGTCCTCTGCAACGTTTGTTCTAGGTTTTGTCTTTCTCATTTTATATTTAAACCCCCTTTATTTTATTTTTAGGCTGATCACAGCTTGTACAAGGTCCTCGTCTTTCTTCCAGGTAGGCGCTCCTGGGGGACGTACAGTATATTAGCGGCACTATGGTGACACCTTCTGTGGGCGTTTCCTTGATGCGCTGCACACTGCACTCACTGCATCTACTCAGTCTTCTGGGTTAAATGAAGCTGGGTGTCATTCAACCCAGAAGGATGAGGACATCGTGTGGTGAAAATCGGGTACTGCAGGGGAAAGCTCTGGGAAGGTAAACATGGCAGTTTGATTTTTTTTTTTTCCCTGCCGATTTTTTTAGGGGGGGAAATTATAATTTTTATATTAAATATTTCATAATATAGAAAAAAAAATTATAGTGTATTTTTAGCAAAGAACAATTTGTTAGTGAAACATTCATGTAACTTTTTTTTTTTTTTTTTTTAATTGGTATTTACGTGCCTTCCTGTCCCATTTTGTGTGTTGATGGGTAGATTTCCCCTCTAGCACATATGTGTTGTATACCTTAGGGCCATTGGGACCCTTGTTAGACAGCAGCCCGTGCCTGCGTGGGTTTTCCTCTGGGTACTCCGGTTTCCTCCCATACTCCAAAGACATGCTGGGGCAAAGGGGGGTTAATAAATTTAAAAATTATATAATGTGTATGTATGTGTGTGTGTATGTATATATGTGTGTGTGTATGTGTGTATATATGTATGTATATATATATATATATATATATATATATATATATTTATTTAAATGTGTGTTTTATATATATATGTGTGTGTGTGTATATATGTATATATATATATATATATATATATATATATATATGTACATATTTTAAAAAAATTATATATATATACATATTCAAAAATATTATATATCTATATACACACACATTAAAAAAAATATATATATATATAATTTTTTTTTTTTTTTGTATATAGATATAAAAAAAATTTTTTTTTTAATATGTGTATATATATATGTATGTGTGTGTATATGTAATATATATGTAAATATATGTTGTTATATATATATATATATATATAATATATAATATATATATATATATATATATATATATATATGGGGGGCGGGCCAGTTCAGCCCATTTCAAAAACCAACACACAAGATCCAAATGCAACAACAACACACACAAGAGACGGCTTTTATATTCAATACAATAAACTTTATTTAGTAGCACAATTACTTTTTTGTATTTTTTTTTTTTCGTCTTCCTTACATTTTCAATAGAATGCAAAAGCAAAGCATGGAATTTTTTTGTATTCACTTTCCTTTGTCTTCTAACAATATATATATATTTTTTTCATTTTTATTTTTTTTTTTTTCATTTATTTATTTTTTTTTAATACAAAGTCTAGCAACGGTGGACTTTTGATGGAAGTGATCTGTAAATGATCAGTGCAAAATGCTGTTAGAAGTTCTAGCTTCACATTTTGTTTTTTTTTTACTTGATAACTTTTTAAGAAATCTCTCCTTTTTTTTTATTTTATATCTTTATCAATGCTGTAATTGGGGGAGATACCCGAAGATGCTAGCGGTGTGCCAACATGTAATATGGTGTAGCCGATTAACCTCAGCTCAACAAAGACCGCATCATTGGTTGCTTGGAGGGAAGAGGAAATCGTTTTCCAAAATTCCTAAATTTGTGCGTTTTTTTTTTTTTTTTTTTTTTTTCATTTTTATTTTTCACCTAAATTAGGCATGAAGAATTCTCTGACAATCACACAAGTAAGCTCAACTCAGTGGTCGAAGGCAACGTCATTGGTTGCTTGGAGAGAAGAGTAAATCCTTTTCCAAAATTCCCAAATTTGTGCATCCTTATTTTTTTTTTTATTTGTTTTTTTAATATTATTTATTTATTTATTTTTTTATATTTTATTTCACCTAAATGTAGGCATGATAAATTCTCCGAATCACACAAACTATAAATCCTGATAGCACTGAGTTACTAATTGTGTGATTCTTGGCAGAAGCAGGAAGATATGAGCTGGGAATTATTTCAGGAAAAAAAAAAAAAGTTTCTTACAATCTCAGAGTTACAGAATTTATTGAAAGTGGGATATTATAATTGTGCGTCAGTCAATTAAATATTCAGAAGATTAAAATACTTCCGCGGTATACCCTTAGCAATATATTATTTTCAGTTCTTTTTTTTTTTTACTGCTCAAAACGCATTGAACCATGTCGTGTTTTTTTTTTTTTTTTTTTTTTTTTTTTTAATTTAAAAATGTATCTCCACGCGATTACAGCACTGTACAAAATATATATTTTAAATATATATTTAATATTTTCATATTTAAAAAATATCTTTTCCTCTTTTATCCACTCTTTTAATAGATCGTGTAAATTTTTTAAATTTTTTTCATATAGAAAAACCACAATTCTTTCATCTCAAGTCCAATAGCTTGGCAATAAATTAACACTAAACAGCAAGATAAACATTTAGTATATTTAATATACATATATTTATAATATATATGTACACACAGTTAACACGGTCGCCTTGGGTGCTGGGAAAGAGCTAATGGGAATCCAAAAATATTCACCATGGTTTTGGGGAAATAACACTGAACAGAATTAAAAAAAAAATTTTTTTTTGGGTTGGGGGGGGGGGGGTTGGGGGGGTGGGGTTTGTAAGACTTTTAAAAATTTCACAACATAAAATAGTTTTAATTTTAAGGTCATTTTTGTTTTAAATTTTTTTTTTTATATGGCTTTTTCCGTAGGCAGCGACCATATTTTTACAAAAAAAAAAAAATTCTATCTAAGGGAAATGGCTGTTGAGACTGAAATTTTATATTCAGAATAGTTTCAAGTATTGAAGGCCACTTGTGAAAAAAAAAATATTTCCACTCCATTTTTTTTTTTTTTTTTTTAGATTGAGGCCTTTTAGGCTTGTGCTTAATGGAAATGAGGGATTTCTATAGCGCTGCTACTTTTTTGGCTTTGGACAAATATTATTCCCTGTTCATAGAGGCGATGATCATACTATGTGATACAGCAATAAAAACCTGTGCAGCATTTAAAATAACAGGCAAAGATTTAAATTTTTTTAGTTCAGGTCCTGTTCGCCTTTTTTTTTAGGCAAAGATTAAAAAATTTTAACTCAGGTCCTGTTTGCCTTTTTTTTCTGGCAAA